TGTGTCTCTCTCTCTCTCTCTCTCTCTCTCTCTCTCTCTCTCTCTCTGCCTTTCTCCAACTCGCACTCTCCCTCTCTCAAAAATAAACATTAAAAAAAAAAAGAAAGAAAGAAAGAAAGAAAATAAGAAGCACACAACTGTGAATGTGAATAGTAGTTACCTCAAAGAGATGGGCTGGAGGTAGTGAGGAGAAAAAACTTTAGCTTTTAATTTATAACCCTAAAAATAGTTGTAACTTCCAGGGGAGAAAGCTGGCAGCCATCTCCTTAAGCAAGCAACCAAAGTTGACATCACAAATATTGGAACTGACATCATGCACTTCCTTACACGATACACTGGTAAGGAAACAGCATTCTTCTGCGGTGTTCCTGCCAAAACACATCACACCTACACCTAATCATGAGGAAGTACTAGGCAAAGATTGAGAAATAATCTTAAAAACGGGCCTGTCCTCTTCAAAGTCATCAAGATCAAGAAAGACAATGAAAGGGGCACCTGGGTGGCTCAGTTAAGCGCCCAACCCTTGGTTTTGGCTCAGGTCATAATCTCACAGTTTTTGAGTTCGAGCCCCTTATCGGGCTCTGCACTCCTAGTGTGGATTCTGCTTGGGATTCTATCTCCGTCTCTCTCTGCCCCTCCCCTGCTCACACTCACGCTCTCTTTCTCAAAATAAATAAAACTTAAAAAAAAAAAAAAGACAAAAAACTGAAACACTGTTCCAAATAGAAGGAAACTAAAGAGACTTCTTTAGTGTGTGGTGTGTGAATCCTTGCCAGGGAAGAACAATTGCTAAAACTACTATAAAGGACAATACCGGGGTAACTGATGAAATCTGAATATGGGTTGAAAATTAGTAAACAGTGTTATACTGATGTTAAACTTCCTGATTTTGATGGTCATACTGTGATCATGTAAGGGAACATTTTTTTTTAATTTAATTTAATTTAATTTATTTTAAATATGAAATTTATTGTCAAATTGGTTTCCATACAACACCCAGTGCTCCTCCCAAGAGGTGCCCTCCTCAATGCCCACCACCCACCCTCCTCTCCCTCCCACTCCCCATCAACCCTCAGTTTATTCTCAGTTTTTAAGAGTCTCCGATGGTTTGGCTCTCTCCCTCTCTTTTTTTTTTCCTTCCCCTCTCCCATAGTCTTCTGTTAAGTTTCTCAGGATCCACATAAGAGTGAAAGGGAACATTCTTATTCTTAGAAAATATATAGTTGGGGCACCTGGGCGGCTCAAGTTGGTTGGGCACTGACTTTGGTTCAGGTTCAAGCCCCATGTTGGGCTCTGTGCTGACAGCTCGGAGCCTGGAGCCTGCTTTGTATTCTGTCTCTTCCTCTCTCTCTGCCCTTCCCCCACTTGTGCTTTGTGTCTCCCTCTCTCAAAAATAAACATAAAAAAATTTTTTTTTAAGAAAATATATACTCAACTATTTAGGAGTCAAGAGGTATGATGTCTTCAACTTCCTCTCAACTGGGACAGTAGGGGGAAGATACATCTATGTATATCAATTCAATGCAAAGTGTAGAGGGCAAAAAGTAAATTAATGAGTGGACAAAGGATATATGCATTCCTTGTACTATTCTTACAGAACTCTTATTCCATATACCCATAAGTCTACCAATACATTAAAACTACAAAAAAAAAATGCAATTTATAATTTTCAACTGCCTACTCTTTCTAATAGTCCTAAGCCTTTACAGAACTTCGAAAATGTCTGCTCAGTCTCGTTAGTTACTAAATGTTGGGATCCCAACAGAAGGACTCAGATTAAAAGTGTCAAAGGCTCAGGATTCCAGGAAGCCCCCTCTCTGGCCTGCTCAGCCACCGGCATCCTGCCCAGAGTCCCGCTCACCTGCTGTCATGGGGACAATGTCTGAACGCAGAAGCATCTGGATGCAGCCAGCTGGCTTGTTCCCAATCTTGATGTCCATGTACACCTGAGGATTTGATGAGGCCTTTTTCGCAGTGGGATCTCCCTGGGTGCAGGATAAATCATTAGGCTGGACAGAACTCGACCCCCCAAGTAGGAGAGCAAGTATTCTGAATACACACCAAGAACCCAACAGCCACAAGCAGGCTACAGCAAGATGCTGGCAGGGAAGGCCCTGGGTCGTGAAAGGGAAGGCCATGGCCGCAGCCCCCGGCCGGACACCCAGTGACAGGACACTTCAGCACCAGCTAACCTGAGCCCCACCTTGCAAGCTCATTCCCTCATCACACTTACCCTCAGACATGCCAGCTCGCTTCACCCTGCCCTGCGGTCACGGAACTTTCCTGGCCCATAGCACATAGCTCTTGGCACATTCAAACACCAGTTCAAGCCCACCCACCACACTCCTGTTACAGCGACCCACACCCTTCTCCTCCATGCCTACCCCTACAGATTCACAGTCTGGCTTCAATGGAAGCAGAAATGGCTGCTCTCTGGCTTGGGCCTGACTGCTCAGAAGACTGAGATTAATAAAAGACCTTCCATTTTACTTCTAAGAAGTCTGCGATTTGCTCATGATTAGTGAGGAGGTTGGGCCTTGCTTTGCGCTCCAGGTGGACCAGGATGACTAGCTGATAAACACAACATTCAGTACAAACCCTACCATTTGTTTCATAGAGAAAGCTCTATTGTCTCTGACCTATTTGTGGTGTGAACTAATAGGTCAAGATATAGGTATTGAGCTATGAGGCCCAGTACTGGAGTTGTTAAATAACTGGCTATCCAGTGGGGGAGGGCTGGCCACAAACACGAGACACACACAGATCCCAGAGCTACACAGCCTCGGTTCAAATCTAGGCTCCGTCACTTATGAGCTATGTAATGTTGGATAAGTTATTTGATCTCCTTGTGCCTAGTTTTGTCACCAAGAGTTGGAGATAATATTAGCACTTACCTCAAAGGATTATCATTAGTACTAAATATTTGTAAAACAGAACAGTTGCTGGTATAGAGGAAGCAACATTTGAACATTTGTTAAGTAAATAATGTCAAAATAACGCTGTAAATGCAGGATAGAGGGTGCTACAGAATCCCAGAGGCAACAAAAGCCCAGAAGGGACACTGATCTCACTCAACTAGAGGATTCAAAAAAGGTTCCTAGGGAAGGCAGCAACCGAATTCAACTATGAAAGATGAATGGGAGATGGCGAGACAAAGTAAGTTGGAAAGGGAATTTAGGCAAAGGAACTGCTTAGGTAACAACACAGACACTTATAGGTACCTACAAACTCTGTCCTAGAATGTAAAATGTACATACAATGTGGAGAGGTGAGCAGGGTCTGAACACGGAGAGCCCTTCCATCCCCCTAAAGGAGCCCAGACTACTCCTCCTATAGATGAGGAGTCCCTAGACTGCTTGAGAGGAGCCACATGGTCAGCTCTATGCCTTAGAAAGCTCCCTCTGGCTGCTCAGGACAGGAGGAATCGGGCCCAGGGTGGGAGACCAGCTAGGAAGCTACCATCATTATTCGTAGCAGAGATGACAGAGGCTACAGCAAGCCAATGCAGCAGAAGCAAACAGGAGAGAAGAGATTCAGGCAGGTGTAAAAGAGAATGATAGCAGGATATGGCAGTGCATCAGGTGTGGACTGTGATGAGGAGTCAGAGATGACAGCGAGGTCCCTGGTTTGGGTGACTGTGGAAGATGGCAAAATTTGCTAAGATTGGGTACTTGGGACAACCAGAGAGGAAGGAAAGAGGAAATTCACTTGGGACATGCTTTGTTGATTTATGGTAACTGGGAGACATGCAGGCAGAAACCCGTGAAACTCAGGAGCAAGGTCAAGGTGAGGACTAGAGACCAGGAAATGAGCAGAACACTGAGTACTGCAATAAGCTCAGACATGGGACACAGTGGCTGAAACTACAAGGACAACGGGCAGAGAGGAGTGGGGGGCTAAGGGAGGAACTTGGAGAAACACCGCTGCTCAGAGGGCAGACAGAGGAGAGGGAGCCTCCAAGTTATCCCCAGAAGTGACGGTCAGGATGGTGTATCGAGAAGCAGGAGAAAGTGCCGAGGCAAGCAGCAACTGGCTAAGGACGGAGGGATTGAGGCCTCTCTGGAATCAGGCCAGGAATAGGAAGAAAGCAAGCCTGGGGCCAAAGTCTCAGTGAGGGAGCAGGAAAGGTCAGGAGGATGGCGGATACTGGTGAGGGGGAGTCCTCACTGTCCTTTCTCATCTCAGACCCCCACCTAGTTCAAGCAATCACAAATCGGTATCCAAGCATGCATACCATACTTCTCACCTAGAACCCCTCACAGACAAGAAAGCCACGCTTCTCCATTCCATTCACCTGCCGCCACCTACATCAGGAGCGCCCTGGGTGGAAAGCGCCAGCCCCTCCTGTGGAAGCACACACCTTCAAACCTCACCTCCTGGGTTTCCACTTTGGAAGGCTCCGTCCGACCCTCCTTCCTCTTTATTCTCTTCAAGAGTCTGCCCAGAAAACTTCTTCAACCAGTCATCACCTGACCACACTGAAAGGAAAAGAAGTGAACAGATGTTAAGAAATTCAGGCTATTGTCCAGCTGTTCACTAGCTGTGCCCAGTTCTTCACTTTGTCAGCAGAATGGACACACCATGTGGCTCTCACAGGCAGAAGTTACCTCTCGGACAAGGGAAGCTGTCACTGGGAAATGTCAGGCCTTCAAGTCCAGCTCTCAGCAGAGGCAGATAAGAGTAACAAGGGAGGACTAAGCCGAGCCAAAAGGGAAGTTCCAACCACTGTCAAGGCCGAAAGGGCACAGTGTATGTCTACATCCCGGAGCAAGACTTTCACAGAGACCATGCCTCTAGCTTTGCAGAGAATCTCAAAGTCTATTTCCATGGAGGAGCTGCATTCTCCCCTCCCCTGTACACCACTCTACCCGTGTATATACTCCCACCACAGCAGGAAGTAAAACAGGGATAAAAAGGCAACAGAGGCCAAAGTTGAGGATGTGATTGGGAATCTGTGATTGCCCCACTTGCCTGGTCTGAATGAGCCTTCCTTAACGCTCACTAGTTTGGCTAAACGGACACAAATTGTCCACCCAAAGAGTTCAGGTTCATTCTAAAATGACTGCAATACAACTCAGCTGCTTAAACCTTGTAAGGTTAATAAAAGACCTTCCATTTTACTTCTAAGAAGTCTGAGATTTGCTCATGATTAATTCTATGCTGGGAGCCCACACCCCGCAATGGCAAGCTAAACACAAAACCAACCATAAAGTGTCCCTGAGCCACTACACATTTCTTTTCTTTCAACACCAACAGGAAGATCTGTGCTGGCATGATCTCTGAATCTGAGCTCAGAACTCTGAAATTATAAGGGTAAATGCAGTTACCATGTATTGAGTCCATTTTTAAAAAGTCAAGATCAGCACTAAATGGGAAAGAAATAGTATTGCTGGCTGGTGGGGGACATGTTTGATGAAAAAGTAACAGAAAACATGGATGTACAGGAATATTATCCAAGAACAACTGACACATGGGTAGTTTTTTTTTTAAGTTTATTTACTTATTTTTAAGAGAGAGAAAGGGAGGGAGGGAGGGAGGGGCAGAGAGAGAGGCAGAGAGAGAATCCCAAGCAGGCTCCCCACTGTCAGCATGGAGCCCGATGCGGGGCTCAAACCCACAAACCATTAGATCATGACCAGAGCTGAAATCAAGAGTCGTACACTTAACTGACTGAGCCACCCAGGCACCCCAAGATTTTTAAAAAAGGTTTGTTTTGGGCCTTTTCATGAAAACTAAAAAAATATGAAATAGGATTCCTTAATTAGTAACATTTAAGTTATAATTATAGCTATGCTTTGTTCCTAGAAACAAAGATGAATCAAGTACTAATTTTACTTATAGCAATTAAGAAAAAGACTGAATGATAGCATGAAATACCCTTATTTCATATTTAATCATAAAGACTGATTATAAGACAAGAAAGGTTTATCATAAAGATAAAAAAAGGGGAGGGTAGAAACATATAAGAGTTTTGTTGTAGGCAAAATAACACCCCCCCCTCATGGTGTCCACATCTTATTCTCCAGAACCCGTGAATATGTAATATTATATGGCAAGAAGGAAGGAAGGCTATCGCTCGTTGGTCTGCTGACCTTTAAATAAGGATATTATACTGGATTATTCAGGTGCTCCCAGTGTAATCACAGAGATCCTCTAAATGTGACAAGGAAGCCAGGGGAGTTAGTTTTAGAGTGACTTAGGGTGAGAAAGACTCACCTGGCCACTGCTGGCTTGAAGACAGAAGGGACCAGAAGCCAAGGAATGAGGTCAATCTCTACAAGCTGGAAAGAAACAGACTCTCCCGTAGAGCCTCCACAAGGAATGTAGTCCTGCTCATGCAGTGAGACACATTTTGGACTTAAGACTTCCAGAACTCTAAGATAATGAATTTGTGTTGTTGTTAAGCCACTAAATTTTGGTAATTTGTTACGGCAGCAGTAGGAATTTAAACCACTTTTCTTTGAAGCACTCAGCCTAACAAACCTTACAGGTTTTCTCTGGTTTAACTTGACTTAGGGAGAGCCACTTTTGAGACATGACTCAAAAGTTTACACTTTGTTGACTAGAGCCAACCACAGCAGTTTTCCATGAAACCCTGTCTTTTATGCCAGATTCACAAGTTTACCTTGCAATCCTTTTACACTCTATTTGCAGTATATTGCCCTGGACTAGAGGCTGGCAAACTTTCTGTAAACGGCTAGACAGTAAACATTTGTTTGTAATTTTTTTAATGTTTATTTCTTTTTGAGAGAGAGAGAGAAAGCGAGTGGGAAAGAGACAAAGAGAGGGGGACAGAGATCCACCGTGGGCTCTGCACTGATAGCAGAGACCCCTATGTGGGGCTTGAACCCACGAACCATGAGATCATGACCTGAGCTGAAGTCAGACGCTTAACTGACTGAGTCACCCATGTACCCCTAGACAGTAAATATTTCTTTGTGGGTCAAACAGAGTCTCTACTGCATATGCTTTTTTTCCCTTTTTTTCCAAAACCCATTAAACATATAAAAAACTATTTAGCTCATGGGCCATACAAAAGCAGGCTGCAGGACGGATGTGGCCTGCAGTCTGAATTTGCTGACCCCTGACGTAGATACAAAAGCGTCAGGGAGAGGGGCGCTGCGGAGGCTCAGTCAGTTGAGTGTCTGACTCTTGATTTTGGCTCAGATTATGATCTCATGGTGCATGGGATTGAGCTCCATGTTGGGGTCTGTGCTGACAGCATGAAGCCTGCTTGGAATTCTCTCTCTCCTTCTTCCTGCCCCTCTCATGCTTGCTCACTCACACGCTCTCTCTCTCTCTCTCTCTCAAAATAAATAAATAAACATTTTAAGAAAAACCCACAAGTGACACCTGGGTGGCTCAGTCAGTTAAATGTACGACTTCAGCTCACGTCATGATCTTACAGTTCATGGGTTTGAGCCTCGCATCGGGCTATGTGCTGACAGCTCAGAACCTGGAGCCTGCTTCAGATTCTGTGTCTCCCCCCACCTCTCTGCTCCTCCCCCACTCATGCTCTGTTTCTTTCTGCTCCCAAAAGTAAACATTAAAAAAATTTTTTTAATAAAAAAACAAAAAAACACCAAAGTGTCAGGGAGAGACTCACCAACAAAGATGGTTGGCATTTATGCAAACATTTAAATAGGAAGGATTTCTGAATAAGAATTCATTTCATAAGTAGCCAGTTCACAGTAAATACTTTCAAATAATGACAGCTTTTGCTTCCTAGATAACTTGAGACTGTGGAAACTGGAAACACAATATGCACCTGAGGGTCCCATGTACTCTAAAGTAGCATCAAAAAATAGCTTCAGTAAAAAGCAAAGAGTCTCAGCCATATCATGTTGTCGATGGCCGCTGTAGCATCCTAAGAGAATCTAAGAGTTCATGTGTGTAGTCCAACTCTTCCTGTGGTTAGCACTCAAATAAAAACTCAGTAGCACACACATGGAAAAAAAACCCACACTTTCCCTCCTTCCCTCCCTAGATTATATGCATTTAACAAAGTGTATGTACTAACTGCTTATTAGAGCTGGTGATGTAAGGATGTGTGCTCAGGCACAGAAACCTGAAAACACACAGGAGACAGGAACCAGCAATGCAGGCTCTAGAAGGCAGAGACAGATCTCTGCAGGATCTGTCTTCCACATTCTGACCACATGAGGGGAGCTATGAGCCTGGCTTGGTGAGCCTTCCTTCAATCAGAACTTCTTGTCCCTTGGCAACTGTCACCACCAAACCAGGGTTTTGGGGGTTGAATCATATCCCCCAAAACTTCAGGTCTGCCCAAATTTCAGAATGTGACCCTATTTACAAATAGGGTCTTTGCAAACATAATTAGTCAAGATGAGGCCATACTGCATTAAGGTGGTCCTAAATCCAATCAACGACTGGTATTCTTGTAAGTAGAGGAGACACAGACACATGTGGGGAACAAGGCCATGTGAAGACAGGGGCAAAGACTGGACTGATGCAGTTATAAGCTACAGAATGCCAAGGACTGCCGGGAGCCACCAGAAGCTAGGGAGAGAAGGATTCTTCCCTAGAGCTTTCAGAGGGAGCATGGTCCTGCCAATACCTTGATTTAGATCTGCTAGCCTCCAGAGCAGGTACAGCTGTGAGAATAAATTTCTCTTGTGTGAAGCCAAGTTTGTGGTAGTTTGTTATGGCAGCCCCAGGAATCTACTACATCCACCCAAATGGAGAGTGGCACCTTTTGTAGCCAATGACAATAGGCAACACCAAATACTAAACAAGGAAAATTTCTTACCTCTGCCAATTCAAACTCAACAAGAGCAAATCCTTGGTGCTTTTCACAACAGCAGATCGTTAGTATGTGAGCAATAGAAGGAAGCATGCCATATCCAGACGCCATTTAAAAAAATGAAAATCTAGGGGCACCTGGGTGGCTGAGTTGGTTAAGCATCCAACTTCAGCTCAGGTCATGACCTTGCGGTTCACGAGTTTGAGCCCTGCGCCATGCTGATGGCTCAGGGCCTGGAGCCTGCTTCAGATTCTGTGTGTCTCTCTCTCTTTCTCTGCCCCTCCCCTGCTCTCACTCGCTCTCGCTCTCAAAAAAAATAAACATTAAAAAAAAATTTTTTAATGAAAATCTAATTTTTAGGGTTTCCTTAGTTTAGTCAACAGGGCTTCCAGAAATATTAAGGTTATTTTGTTCATTTTAAATAAACACAGCTGAATAGTGAACTAAATTTTTACACTTTGTAGTATCCAATTCTACCACAACAGAATTTAAGGCTTAAGTTACTTTCCAAGCATTTTAATAACTTGTTTATAAGACATACAGAAAGTAGACAAAGTTGTTTACCAATTATTCATTCCAACTGAACACCAACGGAGGACAGAGCGCTGACCTCACTACGGCGTTAAGTGATTATTAGTGAAGGAGCCTCATGCTTGTCCTCAGGAAAACATGTTAGCTGGCAGAAAGCAAGGGCAACAAGAGTTACTAATTTATAGAATTCAGGGATAGACGAGCCCCCAGTGGCCAGTCTTACTGTTTTATTTAAGAAATGAAGAACTCAGAGAGTTATCAACCCAGAATTAGTGGCACAGCTGGTTCTAAAACTCCTATCTTAGAAAATTACAACCAAGGATCAAATAGAAATATGCACCATAACTACGATACCAATTTAAGGGAAACTCCCCCAGATGAGCAGAGTCCAAGGCCCTGCCACTGTTGCAGCTGAACTTTCCTGCTGCCTGCTGCTATTTAAAATCACAACGGCCAGGGGCGCCTGGGTGGCGCAGTCGGTTAAGTGTCCGACTTCAGCCAGGTCACGATCTTGCGGTCCGTGAGTTCGAGCCCCGCGTCGGGCTCTGGGCTGATGGCTCGGAGCCTGGAGCCTGTTTCCGATTCTGTGTCTCCCTCTCTCTCTGCCCCTCCCCTGTTCATGCTCTGTCTCTCTCTCTGTCTTAAAAATAAATAAACGTTGAAAAAAAAAATTAAAAAAAAAAAATAAAATCACAACGGCCAATAAGGGAGGTCTGGGCAGCAGGTGTGGTGGGGTATAGCTACCCAGCATGGGGGTGTGAAACATTACTCAGACCTTTCAAGATTTTTCTAAAACTAGCTTCCTACTGAATCTTACTATACAGTTTATATATTAAATGATCAAATATCAAAGCCCCCAAATGGTTCCAATGTGGAGAAAGCCTTTCTTCAAATCCAACAAACTGTCAATCCAAATTTCAGCCCATAGCCACACCAGCATCCTGGCCTTGTTGTCCTTGGAACATTCCTTTTCCATCACCAAGATCATAGTCACGTTGACCTAGAGAGACATCCTCCTGAACTTCATTACATATCAACCGTAAACAATGCACATGACTTAAAATTCTTCTCAAATTCTTTTCCTGACATTAGGAATCTGAACAAGAGAGACACTGAAAGAACTCACCTGTTTCATAATCCAGGGAAAACTAATTATCCATGATGTCTCCAAACAGAAAAAAAAGTACCACGAAGAACTTTGTTGTCTACCTCCTCTGCCAGCCCACCAGCAAAGAGGAAGTGCCTTCTGAACCAGTGCCCTCCATACTCTTGGTACAGATGCTCTGTTAGCAAGACAGCCACAGGGAGAAGAAGGAGTCCCCAGTCTTTTAGGTATACAAAATGACCTGTGAGGTACACTCTTCCCCTATCCCCCTTCAGACTTACATCTAGCCCTCGGTTACTGTGATAGGTTCACTGCCTCCAGTTTCACAATCTCTTCAATAGTTACTAGAATGATTCCAAGAAAGTGCAAATCGGATCACATCACTATCCAGCTTAGCTTAATAGTCTCCAAAAGCTCACCAACGCCCACAGGACGGAGCCCAAATTCCTTGACACCGCATATAATAAGACCTTCCTAAGGTCTGAGCCTTGCCGACCTATCTAGTCTTCCTCCCTGAACGCAAGTCCCAGATGTTGGACTACTTCACCTCTCCGGGCTCTTTTCTTGCTGCTCTCCATTCAGGCCACAGCTTTACTCATGATCTTTCAAACCCAGCTTTGGCCTCTGCGCTTCAGAAAGTTTGCCCTCACCTCTCCTGATGGAGTGAGTGTTCATTCCCCAAAGCCCTCAGCTCGACCCTCATCAACATTGTCTATTTTATGGTCACATCATGAGGCTTGCCAGCCCGCGCAGTAAGACTGTTCCCAAAACTCCCCAACTATTCGGTGAATTCCTTCCTCTAAGGGGTCAGGGCTGCGGAGTTTATGGAATGAATGGGCTTGAGAGTTTGGAATGCGGTCTGAGGTCACAATAACAGATCTTACCAACTCTCCGAGACCAAGATCATAGAGGGAAAGGGCTCTGGGCAGCGCCAGGACCAGCAGAGCCGTCAAGTCGCGGGCGCTGCTCACAGGCTGAGGGGGCAGAGCCACAAGAGAAACCCACGCTAGCTCGGCAACGAACAACACGGTCTTGCGGGAGCCATCTTGCTCCCTGGCTCTTCCGCCGGAAGCCGAAACCAGGCCCCGCCCCCGGACCCGACCTCTCGCTCGCTGGCGCAGCCGCTGTGCTCCTGGCCAGTGGCCTGCGGCGGATGTTTGGAGGGCACTCAGAATAGAGATCACAAATACATAGCGGCATTAACTGGGGAAGTCAAGAAATAGAAGAATCTACTTTAGATCCGGCCTTTGTTTCTAATTATTTTAATGCCAGTGTAACATAAGTGTTATATTCGTCTCAAATGTAAAATATAGTGATTCAATAATTCCAAATACTGCTGTGTGCTCAAGATAAATGTAACCTTGATCCCCTTCACCCGTTTCACTCATCCTTCCACCCATCTCCCTTCTGGTAACCAGATTGTTCTCTACAGTTAAAGTCTGTTTTTGGTTTACCTCTTTATTGGTCTTTGTTGTTTCTTAAATTCCGTATGTGAGTGAAATCCTAGGATATTTGTCTTTCTCTGGCTTATTTTGCTTAGCATTATACTCTAGTTCCATCCATGTTGTTGCAGAGAGCAAGACTTCCTTCTCTTGTGGCTGAATAATATTGCATTGTATATATACACGACATCTTCAGTCGTACATTTGTTTTGTTTTGTTTTTTATTATTTTTGGGACAGAGAGAGACAGAGCATGAACAGGGGAGGGGCAGAGAGAGGGAGACACAGAATCGGAAACAGGCTCCAAGCTCCGAGCCATCAGCCCAGAGTCTGACGCGGGGCTCGAACTCACGGACCGCGAGATCGTGACCTGGCTGAAGTCGGACGCTTAACCGACTGCGCCACCCAGGCGCCCCAGTCGTACATTTGTTGATGGACACTTGGGCTTCCATGTTTGGCTATTTTAATAATGTTGCAATAAAGGTATGTGTATCCCTTTGAATTAGTATTTTCCTACTCTTGAGTAAACACCCAGTAGTGTGATTACTGGATCATAGGGCAGTTCTATTTTTACTTTTGAGGAACCTCCTTACTGTCTTCCATAGTGGCTGGGTTACCACTCACAGTGCATTAAGGGTTCCTACTTCACATCCTTGCCAACACTTCTTGTGTTTTTAAGTAGGCTCTATGCCCAACGTGGGGCTCAAACTCATGACCCTAAGTTAAAGAGTTGCATGCTTTACTGACTGAGCCACCCAGGTGCCCCAAGTTGTAGTTCTTTATATATTTTGAATCCTAAGCCTTTTTTAGATGTCATTTACAAACATCTCCCATTCAGATTGTCCTAGTTTTCTTATTTCCTTTGCTGTGCATATCAGGCCTTAGTTATTTAATTTAAAGTGAAACCAGACCTTCAAGAAAATGGGGAGCCTGCTAAGAAGAATATTCCAAGCAAAATGATACCTTGGGTAAGGCCCTGAGAAAAGACAGCCTGCCAGGTTTCAAAGAAAAGGAGAAAGTGTTCCTGGAGGACAGTGAGGGCAAGTAGACTGGTTGACCTTGGCCGGGTGAGAATTGAGGACTAAAGGAACCACAACACACTTAGGACTCCAGCACTTGCTTGCTGTTGCCACTCAGACCTAGCCACCAAGCCTTTTCCCAGTGCCAGAGGAAATCTTAGCTGCATAATCAACCGAATGTAGGAAAGGGGACCCACAAACCCCAGCTAACACATCCAAGGAGGGAGGGGCCGGGTTCTGCTGATCTCCCCATACAGCCTTCATTCATGTGCCAACCCCAACCTGTACCCAATTCTCCCATGCCAGACTTCTGTTCCCTGTAAGTTAAATGGAGGTCCATTATAAAACTCCTCCCACAACAATGCAACGGGACAGTTCTGTATACCTGGCTAACTCAAAATAGTCTGTTTATAACCATTAGGAAAGGATTCAGTGATAACTGAATTTAACAGGGTAAAACTGGTCAGAGTGAAACAGGACAGGCAGTTTTATGGAGATTTTTTTCTTTATTGAGAAACTTAAGACTTGGGTACATCAAATAAAACCAATTTCTGGGGGAAAAAAATCAAAACCCACAATAGAAAAAAAAAGTTAACACTGTCTGGGCCATAGCAGAACCCAGAGAATATATTCTTTTAATTGAAAAATTCTAGGTGCTTCATAATTGACCTTTTGATACAAAATGACCTATTAAATTTCCAATTTGTGGTTCCTGGTGTTGAGGTCCATAGGACACGCTAGAAATCTTCAAACCTTGAGCTGAATTCCAGGAGGGGTTATTTGGCTTTTGAATCCTGAAAAGAAAAGCACCAACACAAATAAATACATGATCAGAAAAAGCGCAGAGATTCACTGAAATCTCTGGCTTTATAGAAGGTATTGTAGAAAGCGGTGCTTACTGACATGTGGGATGGACGATTGTGTTGGGACTGTCCTGTGCATTGCAGGATGTTTTAGCAGCATCCCTAGCCTCTACCCACTAGATGTAACACATCTCCAGGTATGACAACCAAAATAGGTCTCCGTTGGCAAATGTCCTCTCAAAGAGGCACCCCTGACTCAGAGTCACCCACTTTGAGGCTATGTACTTACTATACAGCCCCACCCCGGCACCCTTCCTGGCCATCCTGTACCCAAAGTGATGGTTCACTTGCTTAAATCCCCAATGAAAAGTGTTCAGGCCTTTACCATATGCCCTTTTCCCTTGCCTCTGCCTATTTGGTTCTCTCCTTCCTCCACCAGGAGAGGCACCCACCAGTCCCTGTCAGAGGTCCTAGTTAAGCTTCACTCACTCTGCAGATGAAGACTCATGGCCTCCAGGTCCAGGAATTGACTAAAACCACACCCTGTAACTGTAGTCAGGTGTGTCTGCCTCTCCCACCTTACACAGGGCCTGTGTCCGTTGTGTTCTCAGAGCTAAGCAGTGGCTTCACACGCAAGCTCACCTCACCAACCTTAAGCCAAACCAGGGAGATGTTCATAGAAATGAGGCTGTGGGATCAGATTATGACAACACCTTGTATATCCATCTAAACAAAAAAAGTCATTCTTGAAAAAGATCTAACCAGGTGCTCCTTATGGAGAAAACTGCCCTGTTTGCTCCTTATAATTTTACAACCTGTTCTCTCTTTTCTCCAAATTAACTCCTTCAGATTATAGAAAATACTCGGGTGACAGCCTGACCAAGTTATCAGGTTAAATAGCAGAAACATGGCTCTATATGCTGCCCCTAATCTTTTAGGAAGATCTTCACAAGTCAAAACCATTGCAAAAAACAAAAACAGCCAAACATACGGTTTTTCCTTGTCTAAGAGGTAGCAGCAGCAACAGCGCCCACCTTCTGGGCAGCTTCTTTCTTGGCATGATGAGCCTGTAGAACCGCCACAGCTTCATCCACCTGTGAGGAATCTCCAGGTGGTCAGTGACATCTGAGGAGAGGCCCTCCACCCCTCCCTGGTGCCCAGATCCAGTAGTAGGGTCTCCTGGTGCTGCCTGCTCTTCCCAATACCCACCCCACAAGCAGCCTTCCGTCTCTCTGCTGAACCAGGATGCCAAGGCCACCCCTCGTCCTCCCAGGCGGAGCAAGTGAAAGCCGAAGGGTCTAGAAACCAGCTCACCTTGGAGCGGAGAGACTCAGGGGACTCCAGCATGTGCAGCAGCTCAGAGTTGTCAATCTCCAGCAGCATTCCTGTGATTTTTCCAGCCAGGTTTGAATGCATGGTTTGGATGAGTGGGAACAAACGTTCTCCTGGGGGAAGAATATTTAATTAAAAACCAGGTTGAATCCCAGTAAAGAATGGACACGGGTATCCAGGTTAGTACCAGGTTCTGGCTCCCTCTTCTGCCAACACATGGGTCACTCACCCAACATCTGCTTCTGTTCCTGGGGGGGTGCTGCAGCCAACATGGAGGCGGTCAAGGGCTCCTGCCCCTGCACATGGACCGCAGGCTGGGGTGCCTGGGAATCAGGAGAGGCAGAAGGTTAGCATCAAGGAAAGGACATTTGATGGTCATGAGCCTGACCATTCGCTCTCAAAGCCTACTATGTGAAAGAGAGAGAGGTGGATGTCCTTGCTGCCAAGGAACTAATCACGGTCTTGGGGAGGAAGGGGTTACATGAGCAACAGAGGGGTACACAGCATAAACAAAAACCAACTACAATGAAAACAGCATGCAGGGCACCTGACGGTTAAGTGTCTGACTTAAGCTCAGGTCACAATCTCACAGTTCATGGGTTTGAGCCCCGTGTCAGGCTCTTTGCTGACAGTTCAGAGCCTGGAGCTTGTTTTGGATTCTGTGTCTCCCTCTCTCTCTGTCCCTCCCCTGCTTGTGCTCTCTCTCCCCAAAGTAAACAAAACAAAACAAAACAAAACAAAGGAAACAGCATGCTATTAGAAAAGAAATGAGTAAGAAAATAAACCTACAAGGCTCAACAATTATCAAGTGATTCCATTTATAATTATATCCCACATCACTTTATTATACCAAATGTTTTTAATGTTTACTTATTTCTTTGGAGGGGGGGGAAGGAGGGAGGGCACATGTGAGTGATCAGGAAAGGGGCAGAGAGAGGGGATCCAAAGCAGGCTCTGTGCTGACAGCAGACAGCCTGATGTGGAGCTTAAACCCACGAACCGTGAGATTGTGACGTGAGCCGAAGTCGGACACTTAACCGACTGAGCCACCCAGGCACCCCATATCAAATGTTTTTATTCTATCAAATGCTTAAGGACTACCAACATACACTGTCAACACCAGTCACAACTCTAAAAGTAGGGCCCTGTAGGCAAAAGCTACATAAGCAAAGTTCTGAGGCATCTCCAATTTAGAGAGCATAAAGTAGGAGCAGGCAACTAGGGGTCACAAGGCTAAGTGTTAAGTGTGGCTCCTCTAAGCAAATTACTACTGAGTTCTGGGTCTAATCCCCCAACCCCAACTTAACATCTCTGAAACTGAATGTCTCATCTGTAAAATGAAGTTCTTTACTGCCTTAATGTACCAATCTTACAGAGAGGCTAAGCATCAACTCAGCCAGTGGAAATGAGAAGCTCAAAGAGCTAAGCGAGCACACATGTTGTAAAAAGGAAGGCAGAAGCACCAGCTGTTTCTGAGGCTGGGGCATTTCTAAGTAAATTATTATGGGGGGAAGGCTTTCCAGCCCCTTTCCCTCACAGTAAAGAAAGCCCCTAAAAGGCAGCGTCATCATAGAAAACACAACACCCTGACACAGAGCAGGCATTAATGGCTGTTGAAGGAATCAAAGCAAAGACATCTTTTCAATCAAATGCAAACAGGGCAGATCCTTTCAGCATTCCGTTTGGTAGACCTCACCTGCAGAGGCTGGATGGCAGGGTGAGGGCTGCGGACACTGGAAGCGTATTTATAAGGTGCAACAGCCCGAGGAGCAGCAGCAGCAACAGCAGCACGAGGTGCTAAGGTCTGCACAGCTGTGGGAACACCTTAGGAAAAGAATAAGTACAATTAAAGCCAATCAGTCTGGGCAAAGACCCGTCAAATCCCATCTTTCCCCATTCTGTGTGCATCCAATACCACCTCCAGACTGGCAGCTGTCAGTCAGCCCT